GGTTGCCTGACATAGGGCCGATATAGTTAAGTGTTACTTGAGCTCTCAACATGCACCAGACATGCTCCAAATGCTTCATGTGAATCAATTCATCTTCCTAACAATGCTATGGGCTAGGTACTGCTATCCCTCCATTCTACAGGTAACAAAACTGAGGCACAGAATGAAATGATTTGTTCAAGGCCACAGCTGGTTAGCAGGAGACCGGGCTTGGAGCACAGGCATGCTTTGTCGTCCATGCTCCTGACCACCCTGCAATAGTGCCTGTCCCCGGCCTCAGTTCTCTGGGAAAACCAAGGTGAAGAGAGAGCAGGTATAGGCCAGACCTCCCTCATGGAGTGGAGAGGGGCTTTCTGACTTTATATGTGTGTTTATGGTTTAGTCCATGGATTACTATTTACTTACCTATAATGTGTTCTGTCTTACAGGACAAAGACTATTTATTGACTTTCTCTAGAGCTAATAATGTGTCACATGCCGATGAATACCATTGGTGGAGACCACGAGTCACTAATATGTCAATGAATTATCGCTGCGTTATTATTTGTGGCTCCTCCTATGCATACTATACGAAGGTAATAATAGTAATAGCTCTATTTATTGAACACTTGTTATAGTCTTTCTACATCAGCGGTCACCAACCTTTCGGACCTCACGGGCCACCTGTGGTACATGGATCATCGGTTGGCGACCGCTGCTCTCCATTATTCCCTGGGAACCTCACAGCAAGCACATGAGATAGGTACCTCATGTGGTCCCCTCCCACCCACTCATGTGGAAACTGGAGGCTGACGTAACTTGTTCAGCATCACACGTTTAGAATAGGTTGGAGCCATGGTGTGAAGCTGGTCCCAGACTCCTGGGTGTCACACACAGGGATGGGAGAAGCGGATCCATTCTGGCCTCATGATGTTTGTGTGGGACTTGGGGCAGAGCAGTTAACACCGCCCAAAGAAACTGAGGGAGACTTAGCAAAGCAGTTGCATTTGAGTTGGGTGACAATGGAATAATGGAAACTTTCAGGGCAGAAAGTCAGGCTGGAGGACAGCATACGAGGCGGAGGGACAGCAAGTGAGAAGGCACAGGTTATCCAGGAGCAGGCAGCACCCTGGCTGGGTGGCTCAGTTGGTCGGAGCGTCTTCCCATATACTGAAAGTTTGCGGGTTGGATTCCCAGTTAGGGCACATACCGAGGTTGTGTGTCCCATCCTTGGTCATGGCATGTATGGGAGGCAACCGATAAATGTTTTCTCTCTCTCTAAAATCAATAAATATATCCTCAGGTGAGGATTTAAAAAATAATAAAGGAGCAGGCATCTGCAGGGAAGTGAGGAAATCAGAATTTGGCAGGAACTCAGGGAGAGAGGCTGAAATGATGCTGGAGGGTGTGTAGAACAAGATTCTGAAAGATTTCTGTGCCCAGGGAAAGAACGAGAGTGTATGTGTGTGTGTGTGTGTGTGTGATAGACACTGAGGAATCGAGAATGTTTTCAGGCGGGGTGACATGCTAACTTTCAAAGATGGTCCTTGGGGCAGTGTGAGGACCGACCTCCATGTGCTACAGAGTGTGGGTGGGGGGACTGTGGAGCCAGACCCACCCATGTGCTGTGAGCAGTCATGCTGTGGACAGTGGCGGGCTAGTCCCATGTCCCTGAGGAGGGACTGCAGTGACTTCTATGCACTTGACCTGGCAAGCAGAGCAGATACTCAGTCCCCCCTACATGTGTCCCCAGTCGGGTGGTCTGCGCTGAAGCTTCCGTAAGCACCTGGGTGTGAAGATGGGGTGCAAGGACCAAGGGGTAGGGTTGTGCATGGCACAGCTGCCTCTGGAGCAAGTGAAAACGGTAGAGTGTAAGGACATTGATAAACCCACAAATGTGGCTTCGTGACCCTGGGCAAGTTATAACTCTCTCTGAGCCTAAGTTCCCTGTATGTTAAATGGAAAGAAAAGTACCTACCTCATTGGGTTGTGTGAACTCAGAGAGATAATTCATGGAAAGCATGTAATCAGTAAGCATGGAGCACACACTCATACATGTTAGCTCTCAATATCCCCACTACAAAAAAATGAAGGAGCTAGCCCTGCTGGGAAAGGGTATTAGCTGTGTATGCACTCCAGTCTGTGTCCCCTCCTCCTTGGCTCCTGCCTACCCAAACCTCAGTGGGTGGAAATCCAGGTCCAGAGGTGGACAGCAGGGGTGGGGACTGGATAAGGCTCGGCATCACAGAGGTCACCTCTGTCCTTACCAGGTCAGAGCAGTCTGGGGACACCTGTTCTTGGGGCAGGGCCCCACACACAGGGTTCACGTGGGAAGCAGGTGTTTCCCGCCCAGCCCTCCACCTCTCTGCAGCCTCCTTTCTCTCAGACCCACTTGCCCTGTCTTCAGCCTGCTCTTCCTTTCCGGACCCATCCTGCCACCCTCACTCTCAGCTGCTGCCCCTCCCTTGCTGAGGACTTTCGCCCCTTTTCTCTGGATGTTTCCCGCAGTGGCAGAAGTCAGGCAGACCTCAGGGCGTGGAGGTTTCCAGCACAGGTGGCCTTGTCAGCTGGACCAGGTGGGGCTAGGGTTTTCTGGGGAGCAGTGATGCCCTGGCCATCTGAGCAGCTGGGGCAGAGAGGAGAAGGTGAGAGCAGCAGCAGAAGGAGCAGAGGCCCCAGGTCTGCCTAGGAAGAGAGGAAGCTGGGGGACGGGACCAGGGTGTTGCCAGTGGGGGATGGAGAGTGATTGGCACAGGGTGTTTTGGTGGCATGAGCACAGCACAGGTTAACAGGTGGCAGCGACTGCGGAGGCTGCTGGGTAGGCAGATCGATCTAAAATAAATCCCCACCAGCACTCCAGCTATCATCTTCACAGTAAAACCTGAAATTAAGTGTGCATCCCTACTGAGCACCTCCCCGTGAGGAATGGGAAGCCTGACTGACTAGGTTTCTGTGAACCTCACTTTAGATACCTGGGTGAATGTGGAAAACACTCCAATCCCAATCCCATGTATTATAGGCACACCACCAAGCATCCACTTAATTGCATTTTTCACTCCACAACCAGATTGGGTGTGATACAGTCCATATTTCCTAAAATTCTCTAAATGTGTGCATGTGGTTTTTAAGTTCCACTTGTCTCCTGCCGGCAGACAGAATATTTCACATTGTCAGACTATTAGCTTTTGTAGAAGACATTCTTCGTATCTCAAGGTTGGCCCAGGGCTAAATTTTTTTCTCTTGTTTGCAGGTGTCATGTCCTGGTTAGACGTTTGACACCTTGATCTTAATAAGTGTCATGAGGCTGGAGTCATCGTTTCAGGGCCTTCTTCCCACATAGCCACGTGACGGCGCAGGGACCGAAACTCCCTCAGGTTCCCAGCGCTAATTTGAAAAAGTTGGGTTAGTTACTAAGTTTCTGTTCAGAGCGGAAGAATCTCTGATTCAAGTAATATTTTCACAGGAACCCTATAATCTTTCCTCGTGGAGGGAAACGTGATCTGTGCCACCAGCCTAGCTAGAGACTGATGAATGCTCAAGTTCAGGAAGAGCATCGCATATCCCATGATAAATATGTTAAGGCTCTGTTATGTTTTCTTTCATAGTTCCTTCCTGAGGAATTGAGTCTGTTACGCTAGTTCATGCTCAGCCAGCATGTTCTTTTTTTTTTTTTTTTTTTGACAGGATGCTTAAAATAAAGGAGAGAGCTTTACTTGATACCTTTATTTATATGCAAAACAGCGCACCATTCATGAGATATGAAAAACTCGTCAGATAGAAACCAGATTATATCTATTTTTCACTACAAAATATTGCATTATATAAAGCAACAGAGACACAAAAAAACCCTGAAAAAGACTAAAATCTTTGGATAGCAGGTGTGGTTCCCCACCCCTCCCCCCTTATCTCTAAAATACACGCCTCATTTTAAGAGTTTCACAGCTGAGAACAGGAAACATTTTCAGGTTATAGACTTTTCTTTTTGGTTGTCACGGAGGAAAGTAGTTTCTGAATTCTTTTTTTTTTTTTTTAGGAAAATAACTTAATTTCCTAAAATCATCCCAGGCACAAACATCACACATACATACACAAAGAAGCTACTTGCCTTATAAACAGTTTGTAAAGTACTTTTCAGACATAGCTACAGATAAGAATAACAACACTTACTTTTTTAAAAAACTATAATAGTGAAGTGTTAGTGTTGCTGATCTCACCACAAACAAACATCTTAATATATAAAATATGTTTAGAAACAGGGGGAAGTGGGACTTTGTTATGCAAGTGCAATATAATTAGAGCCAAAAGAAAGACCACAGTATAATCTCAACAAACACGTAAAAAGTATTATTCCACAGGAAAAAGTGTAAACACTCGACTATAAATTAATTGGCACAGAGTATCCAAAGTAAAATTATCACCACTCTGAAAAATAAATGTCTTGGAAAAAATACTCTACTCCTTCTAACATAAATAAAAATAGCTTGTCTTTTTCTAACTGCACCTATGGGTCCACGCATTTAAGGTCACGAATAGATGTTTTTGGATATATAAGGGGCACTTTGCCTGAAAACACAGTCACATAGTAAGTTGTCCATTTAAATATGGATTTTCCTGTCTACAGGAGAGTCATACTTCAGGGCTCAGTTCCCACCAGCTCGTCCCACACGGCTCAGTTTGTTCTCATCACACCTTTTTGAGCTTACCAAGTATGCATTTGGATTCTAATCTAATCTTTCTTTTCGAATCTGAATAGAAAGTTTCCTGTTCCACCTTCAAGTGCCTAAAATCTCTACCCTGGAGGACATTCCCTCCTTCCCCTCTGGATGTTTGGTGATTTTTCAATTAGAAAAATCCAGATCTGCTAAAGTTTCTGCCCTCATTTTTTCAAAACTCAAAGATTCGTGGGAGATAAACTAAGGAGAACTCCCAGTCTCCAATGAGCTAAATGAAACACCTTTAAAGGGATTCTCACTCAGGGAGGGGAGGTCTGGGGGTGGCCAATCTCCAGCGCCTCCCGGAGGTCCGCAGGCCTGAGAAAGCCACCCCCCTGCAAGCCCCACAGCTTGCCAGACAACCCCACCTTCCAGAGTAAGAAACCTTCCACCCTCCTCTCCCTGCTGAGCCCAGAGAACGCAACATGTTGGTAACTTCTTCCACCGTCCGAGTCTCGGGGTCCCGGACATCCAGACCCGCGGCCTCCGTAGCGCCCGCCCCTACACGTCCAGGACGTGGTTGAGATAAGAGATGTAGCAGATGGCCAGGCGCAGGATCTCGATCTTGGAGAGCTTCTTGTCCGGGGGCAGCGTGGGCAGCAGTTTGCGGAGCTCGGCAAAGGCCAGGTTGAAGGCCTCCACGCGGATGCGCTCGCGGGTGGCGTGAGCCGATCTGTACTTGGCCGTGGCTCGCCGGCGGCGGCGCTTCTCCTCGCGGCTCAGCTGCTGCGGGTGCGGGTAGAGCGCGGCCCGGCCGCCGCCCTTGCCGTCGCCCTCGGCCTCCTCCACCGGCTCCAGGTCCGACACGCTGCCCAGCACCTTGGCGTCCGCGCCGCTCAGGGACTCCGGGTCCGAGTGCGCCGAGCTAGGGTGGTCCGAGTCGGCGGCTTGGTCTGGACTCAGCATCATTTTGGAGGCTGAGGGGGAGTCAGAAAATCAATCAATAAAAGGAGCCAGGGCCTTTGATAGGTGCGGGAGCCGGGGAGGGCCTCCTTCCCACCCCAGGCCATGCTCGGCGGAGCTGGCCCCGCGGGGAGGGAGCCCTCTCTCCCAGGCAGGCCCGCATCCTGGACCTGGTACCTCGGCCTGCAGGAGGCCCGGTCCGGCCTGGGTTCTGTGCGCCTCGGGCCATAGACCAACTCCATCATTCTGCCTTCCTCACTTCATTTCCTTCGTTGACAAATGACGAAGGATGAACACATCTGGCTGGGGGGTGAGGGGAGGGAGGAGAGAAGGGGAAGGAACCCGGTCGGCGGGCCTCGCTCTCTTCTGGGGCACAGGGTGGGGCACCCAGGGCTGGAGAGGGGTTGGGTCTCGGGCAGAAGGGGAGCAGGCCCGGAGCTCAAAGGCGTCCTGGTGCCCCCAGTGCTTCTCTGAAGTCATAAAGAAACGGCTAAACAAACGTGGAGGCTCCTTTCAGCACAACAGAGACGCCCGTGCCCTCGCAGGCGCCCGCAGCACCATCTGTCACACAGACACACACATCAGGGACCCGAGCTCGCGCTGAGACAATGCGCCCGGCAGCCTGCCCACCGCTCCCGGGGGTGCGCTGGCGGCCGGGGCGCCCCGGGGAGGCTGCCGAGGAAGGGGCCGGAGGAGGTGGGCAAGCCTGGCCGGAGCTACGCCTCTGCCCGCAAAGTTTGGGTGCCGAGGGGCCAAAGGCCCAGCAGGTCTGTCCCAGCTTTCCTCAATGCTGGCTTCCTGGAGCGATCCCCTTGTCCAGCTCCTCCGGCGTCTAGAGTTGGCCTACTGAGCGCCTTTGGGGAGGGAGCCAGCCATGATCGCTGGGCTCCGGGGGAATTCGGGTCTAGAAAGGGGCCGGCACCTGCAGGTACCAAGCGCAACTGCTGCGGGGCCGGGGCCCTGCCCGTGCAGCCTGGCGACCTGGTAAACCCGGGGTTGCTTCCCAGAGACAAAAGCGGGGATGCTCGATCCGCTCCTAGCACCGCGCTGGCTTAGGAGCGAATTTGGCTTCAAGGCGGCTTTCATTTCCCTGCGAGAAAAACAAGTCCTCTAAGGCAAAATAAAAACAAACCTCCAAGTGGATGCATGTGATTCCCTGCGGGCTTTTAACGGATACATTTATAAGTAGAGCAACTTGCGCCTATGCTCCGCTTGAAAGGGTATAAATAAATAAGCCAGAAAATCAGAACAAGCCACTGCAGTTGTAGCTCAGGCAGAAAGTTCCTGGATTGCCCTCAAAGCATGATCAATTCTCCTCCAGGTATCTTTTTTTAAAAATATGCATAAATATGTCGTGTGTATATTTTATTTATCATTTGCCTGAAATGCATCTGTCATTTCAGGCAAATGTTAAATAAACTAACTTAGTTCCACACTGGGGGAAAAAAATCATTTAAAGGAGTCTTACCTTGTAAAAGCCTTTTCGATAATCTTTTCTCCAATCTTTTAGAGTTAAAATTCCAGGGAATACAGGGGAGCGACCCCGAAATATATTAAAAGCAGAAAATATTTATTACATTCAAATATGAAAAAGCAGCTGTCATCTTGCCGGTGCCGATAATATCAGGATGTGGATCAGTGATTGTTTACTTAGCTGATAGATCAAAACGCCTTTGCCTTTTAATTGTTCACAAACATTTTGGGGAAATCTGTTGTTGATTTTTTTTCTTCCCCCAAAAAACCACAGGAGGTGTTGAAAAGTCGCCCGCTTTTCTCCTCTTCTAGGTCTCTATAAATAACAAAAGAGATGCAGAGATAAACACGGTCACTTCAAAGGGCTGATTCCTCTACTTTCTAATAGCGGGAGAATCAATAAGAAAGATGGTTAAGATACGATACGGCTCCTGTAGGATTCCTTTTCCTCCCCTCCATAGGGCTGAGCAGAAACTGGGAAGTACACGGCAGAGATGCGATCTGGCTCAGAAGTGATTTTTTTTTTTTTTTTTGAGATAAGGCTTTGTTCAGCTGATGTCTCCCCAGTTCCCAGGAACACAATACTATAACTCGGGGCTAAGCGCGTCTCTTCCTCTCCCCGCATTTACTTGGATGTTGTATAAACAGACACCTATTTCCAGTTTCAAAGTCTTTCAAGGCTTGGTTACATCTCCCACCCCCAACCCCCTCCTTTCTTTACCTTGTAGCAAAATAGACATAGTCAGTGGCGTGGAGATGCCTGGAGAAAGGGTGGTGGAAAGCGAACGCCTCAGTGGAAACAGTGGCAGGGAAGCTGAGAAAGACGGGAGAGGGTGGCAGAGCCCAGCAAAGAGGCAGAGATGCGCGCGTAGCTTCTTAGCTCTCCTGGTACCAATTGATTCAGCCTGGAGATGGTGGAAGAGATAAAGGCTTAAGAAGGGGGATGGAATTTTTTCCCCCCTAAATTGATATTTAATGGGAAATCCTATTGGACAGAAACCTGGACATGAGTCACTTAATTGGACTTGACATCTGTCACAGTGTTGGAGTTTTCACAGCCCAAATATTTTAGTAGATCGGATTCCCACTGAATCTGTGCCATAAAATATAACCGTTGAAAGCAGTCCATGATAGAAACTTTAGCCTCTAAGCAGAATATGTGGCCATAATCAGGCTGTTTCTCTTTTTATGACTATTGATGCACGTAAACAACACATTGACTATGGGAAATTACCCTGGCATATTATGAAACCAGCATCTTCCTGTAATGCGTAGGAAAATACTTGTGTCCAGACACGGAAATATATACACTGTGTGTGGTACTGCAATAAACATATTCAGATATGCACTAGCCACCCTTTTTAGTGATCATTTCCACTTTAAATAACACCTCAACAAGGCTTGATTAAGCTTATTCCCATTTTTCAGAGATATCTTGCCACTGGACTAATTTTCCAATATATGATAACAACAACAACAACAACAACCTTTCAATAGCTTGTCATAAGTGGAGCTGGGAACAGAATCCATGCATTATAATGGCAGGGATCACCATAGGAGACCATTGGACTCTCTGAATGTTTATTTTTCTCTTCACCCTCTCATTCATTCAGCTTAAACTGTGGCATTCCCCATGTGTTGATTATGCAGCTCATTCTTGCTTATTTTCATCTCCGACTTTCGCTGTGTGACAGTGCATTGGGCCAGGATGTAAACACATACAAATCACCAGTGTATTCCAGCACATAATGCCTTTGCCTCACCCGACCCCATGCCTCTGAATTTATCTGCCTTATAACAAAAGGGGAAATCTAGTTCAATTATTTTGCCACTGTGAGCTGCCATCAATTACATATTATTTGCAATTATTTTAGCTTTTTTTTTTTTTTTGATAGTGCAAGCATGAAAGAAATAGAGTATTATTGTTCACCACCGCCCTCCCTCCCCAGTCCCTGGGGGAACTTTGGTGGAAAGAGGAGCCCTCACTTGCCCTACGAGCTCAGTTTTGTCCGAAACACAGGCTTTGTCATCAGGGGAGGGGGTTGGTTAGGCTGCCCCTGGGAGTGACCCTCATGGCTGCCACCAGTCCTGGCGCCTTTGCCCACATTTTTCATTCTACTGGGGATTTCTGGACCAGCAAGGGATGGGATGAGAGCAATGGGTGCCTCCACCAAAAATGGACACCAGTACTTTCCAGCTTCACCTCCACTGCACCCCAGCACAGAGGGACTTAAAAAAAAAAAAAAAATATATATATATATATATATATATATATATATATATATATATATATATATAATTTTTTACAGAGAGAAAGGAAGAGGGATAGAGAGTTAGAAACATCCATCAGCTGCCTCCTACACACTCCCCACTAGGGATGTGTTGAACCTGGGACCCTTCAGTCCGCAGACTCATGTTCTATCCACTGAGCCAAACCGGTCAGGGCTAGAGGGACATTTAAGTGGAGGCAGGGGCCAGCCACATTCAGGCGGCCATAGAACAGGTGAGTGGGTGAATTAATTTCTCCAGGTGGTGAAGAGAGGGAGAGGGAAGTTTCCCCAGCCTGGCCGGGAACAGCCAGCACTATGCATCACCCACACAGAACTCCGAGTGAGCACACGGCCGTGCACCCAGGGGTACCTGTGTTCCACACCTCCCGCTCCTCACACAGGCCAGCGGGCTGTTACAACACCCCACGGACTGGTAGGATGAAAAGCCTGGTGGCCCTAACTGCCATAGTCCACATGGCAACTGCTATAGTGGAAAGTGACTGGTATCTGTGTTTACCCTGCTGTTGGGGGGGAGGCAGGACAATGAGGGGGACATCCCAGGACAGGTTGGTGTCTACTATGGTGTGTGTGCGTCTAGACACATTCTCTCTGCCATTCACGCTTTCTGATTCCGCACTTACAACCTTCGGGTGCATAAGTTCATACACGAGGAAGCCTATGCAAACAGATACACACTCAGACCCACATATAGTCAGGCCTGAACACACTGTCATGGTCACAGGCATGAACTCACACTCACACATTCTCTCTTCCGGGAAGGCCTCCCTGTCTCCTGCTGCCACCCCTCAGACCTCCTGGCACAAATGGCCCTTCCTTCTGTGCCCCGAAGGCCCTCTCTTCCCATCTCCCCACAACACATTGTGTACCATGATTCTTGGTTTCCATACTGTGTCTCCCACTGGGCTGTGATGCTTTCGGGGAAGGCCTGTCGCTATACCTCAGCCCTGGTGTTTGGGTGTGACATATTATACGTACTCAGTGCTGCCGAGACCAGTTTGGCTCAATGGATAGAGCGTCAGCTTGGGGACTGAAGGGACCCGGGTTCGATTCCAGTCAAGGGCATGTATCTTGGTTGCGGGCATATCCCCAGTAGGGGGTGTGCAAGAGGCAGCTGATCGATGACTCTCTCTCATCGATGTTTCTAGCTCTCTCTCTCTCCCTTCCACTCTGTACAAACTCAATAAAATATATTTTATATATATATATATATATATATATATATATATATATATATATATATACACACACTCAGTGTATTTATGTTGAGCAGCTTCCTGTGCATAGAGGCACCCAGGATGTTTGTGAACAGAAATACTTCCACCTAAAGACACCCATGGTTCCAGCTGTATCACTTTTATCTCCTTGTGAGAATAGTAACCCTGCCCTACTCAACTCCACCGGCTGGTTATCTGAAAGTGTTTTATAAAATACAAAGCACCATACAAGTGAAGCTATTGTGGAATATTAGGAGGTAACTAGTGATTTAAAAAGCCAGACTTTCTGGCTCTATCATATGCTACCTGTGTGAATTTAAGTGAGTTACTTAGCCTTTCTGGACCTTAGTTTTGTAGCTACAAAATGAGAATATAAAAAGTATGTTGTTATGTTATGCCCTATGTTTTTTTTTCTAAGGATTAACAAGATAATCTGTGTAAAATGCTTAAATTAATTCCAGAACTCATGCTCCATAGTGTTGGCTATTAATATTATTAATAACATTGTTATTATTCAATATAAATACATATTGAGAGCCAGGAATATATATGAAATTACTTGACATAGAAATACATCTAGTATATTCACTCAGTGTGTGTGTGTGTGTGTGTGTGTGTGTGTGTGTGTGTTGCTATGGTCACACACATGGGTTTGTACTCCTCATGCATATGCATTTTCTCATACTTTACACAGATTCACTCATTTTATCTTCACTACAGGCTATGAGGTAGGTGCTGCTCTTGTTCCATTTTGCATATAAGGAAACTGAGACATAGAGAAGATGGTAATCAACTCAAGTTCACCTAGCTAATAAATGATGGGGGGGGGGGGAAACCAAGAGTTAGACGCAGGTGTTCTAAATTTAGAAACTACAACCACAATGTCTTAGCTTCTATTGTCATGGTGTCCTACACAAATACACTCATGCAGAAGAATTAGTCACCAAGCGACGTGCATGCTCTGAGGGAGAAAAAGACAAGCATTTAGACTGAAGCCATATCCCACCTGCTAAAGTTTTTCCTCAGGGGGAAAAAAATGTTCCCCTAATATTTCCTGGTAATTCTGAAGGCAGGAGCATATTTCTTGGACTCAACACATAGTAAGAAGAGGTACCTTGAATGTTGGTGAGACACCGAGAGAGCATTTTGCACGAGGAAAAAGGAAAATCCAAGCCTCCACAAGGACTCGATCTGATTTCTTATGATAGAGTTCTAGCAGGACCTTCCAGTGGGTCACAATGAAAACTGATAGCACGGTCCCTGGGGCTCACCAGGCTGCTGCCCCTTGGTTTGTCACATCTGTTCCCGTTCCCAAGTGCCAGGATGCGATGAGGACCTATTTACTCAGAAGACTGTGGCCATGGCGCCTGCGTGCTTTAATCAGTTCTTTTTTTTCTTTCTTTCTTTCTTTTTTTAATATATTTTATTGATTTTTTTACAGAGAGGAAGGGAGAGAGAGAATTAGAAACATCGATGAGAGAGAGAGTCATCGATCAGCTGCTTCCTGCACTCTCCCCAATGGGGATATGCCCGCAACCAAGGTACATGCCCTTGACTGGAATCGAACCCGGGACCCTTCAGTCCGCAGATCGAGGCTTTATCCACTGAGCCAAACCGGTTTCGGCTTTAATCAGTTCTTGAGGTGGGCCTGCGTCTCACCACTGAAAAGCAAATATTGTCTTGTTTCCCTTTGCATACAGTCTCAAGACGATGCTCCATAGGTTAGAGCACTCCCTTCTCATAAAAACCCTTGTTTACTAGGTCGGTAGGATTAGGGGTGATTTTTTTTTTTTTATCCTCTCAAAAATATTCTTTAATGTTGACAGGAAATTCTTTCACAAATAAGCATTTTTTAAAAGGTTACAAAAAGGTCATTTCCAGGAGGAAAAACAAAATATTATGGAGAGTTCCCAGCACAGGGGACATGAGAACAACAAACAAATGGATCAAGAAATGCCAACCTACACCTATAAGAAGATGGCCAGATAGCTTAACTTCGGTGAATAATCAAGCAGACAGAAGGTGTTGTGTAGATAAAACTTACACAT